TCCCTCTACCCTTCCTTTTTCTCCTCCTCCCCTTCTCCCTCCTCCTCCTCCCCTCTCCTCCCTTTCCTCCTCCTCCTGCTCCTCATTTTCCCCCTCCTCCCTATCCCACCTCCTCCTCCGCTTCTTCTCCCTCCCTCCCTCCCTCCGTCTCCCTCCCCCTCCTTCTCTTCCTCCTCCCCCTTCCCTCCCTCCTCCCTCAGTCCCTCCCCTCTCCCCTTCTTCTCCCTCCCCTCCCTCCTCCCTCCATTGGACGCTGGAGAATCCTGAGGGATGGAGGGAGGGATGGAAGGAGGGAGGGATGGAAGGAGGGAGGGATGGAAGGAGGGAGGGATGGAAGGAGGGAGGGATGGAAGGAGGGAGGGATGGAAGGGAGGGATTTCGAGGGGTTTCCCCTTCCCCCCCTCAAACGTCTCAGCTCCATAGGGGACCCTCCGAGAAAAAAAAAGGGGGAAGCCAAGGAATTCCCAAGAGACGCCCCAAGAAATTCCCCAAGATTTTCCAGGAATGTGGGGGGGGGGGGCTCAGTCTTGGACAAACCCCCCCCGAACTTCCAGATTTTCCCACTAAAATCTATTTTTATTCACAAAAACAAACACAGCTCCTGCTTCCCTCGGGAAAGGGACGGATCCGACCCCCCCAAATCCGCCGGGAAAACCCCCCCCTCCCCCCCTTAGGTTCACGTCCTGCTCCCCCTCCCAAGGTTCATCCCGAGGATTCCATTTTTTTTCCCTTTGGAATTCCCTTCGGATGCTCCTCCAGCCCCAACACCAGGAGGAACCCCCCCTTGGGCTGGGACAGATCGATCCTCACCCCAAACTTTCGGGATCCTCCCGACCTTTTGGGATTGTCCCAACCGACAGCGGAATAAATACAATAAATAAACTTCCCAAATTTCCGGGGGGACGGCGGAGTCGGGACAATCCGGCTTCTTCCTCGACCGAAACCCACCAAATCATAGGATTCGACCCCAAAATTGGGGGGGTTTTCCCTCCAAATCAGGGGGATTTTTCCACCATTAGGGGGCTCTTACCCCCTAATCGAGGGATTTTGCCTCAAATTGATTTTTTTGCCCCCAAACTGGTGGGTTTTTTTTTTTTTTTAAGCCCCAAATCCTCGATGACATCATCACACTCTGAGTGGGTGTCGGCCAAGGCTGTTGGACGTGGAATTCGGGATGATCCAGGAGCGGCTCCATCCCCACGTTTTTGGGGTCTCTCTCTCTGACCTCGGCAACGAGTTGGCGGCACCTCCAAGAGCACCGACCTCGGAAGTGCTTCTTCCGGAATCCTCCCGGAGCAGGAGCTCGGTTGGGTTTTCCCCTTGGCAGGATTCCATCTTTTTTTTTGTTTTTTTGGTTTTTTTTCTGATCCAGAGAGGGGGGGGAGGAAAAAAAAATCCCCCCCTTTGGAAAACTCCAAAATTCCCACTCGGTTCCTCCTTCCACCCTCTACTCTACCCCCTTCCTACTCTACCCTACAGAAGCTACGCCGGAACAGCCCAATCCCACCAGGATTCCCATCAGGAATTGGGACGTCAAGGTTGGCCAACCCAACGAGCCGGGTTCATCCGGCGGCCCCTCCGGAACGTTTCCGCTGGGAATGGGTTCTTCCCAACCCAAGGTTGGTCAACCCAACAGGGTTGGGTTCTTCTGGCAGCCCCCTCTGGAACGCCGGAACGCCGGAATGGGGGCTCTACCCAAGTCATCATCAAGGTTGGCCAACCCAACGAGCCGGGCTCATCCTGGCGGCCCCTCCGGAACACCAGAACGCCGGAATGGAGGCTCTACCCAAGTCATCGTCAAGGTTGGCCAACCCAACGAGCCGGGTTCATCCGGTGGCCCCTCTGGAACACCGGAACGCCGGAATGGAGGCTCTACCCAAGTCATCGTCAAGGTTGGCCAACCCAACGAGCCGGGTCCGTCCGGCGGCCCCTCCAGAACGTTTCCACTGGGAATGGGTTCTTCCCAACTCAGCATCAGGGTTGGTCAACTCAACGAGCCGGGTTCATCCGGCGGCCCCTCCGGAACACCGGAACGCCGGAATGGAGGCTCTACCCAAGTCATCGTCAAGGTTGGCCAACCCAACGAGCCGGGTCCGTCCGGCGGCCCCTCCAGAACGTTTCCACTGGGAATGGGTTCTTCCCAACTCAACATCAGGGTTGGTCAACCCAACAGGGTTGGGCTCCTCCGGCAGCCCCTTCTGGAATGCCGGAATGGAGGCTCTACCCAAGTCATCGTCAAGGTTGGCCAACCCAACGAGCCGGGTCCATCCGGCGGCCCCTCAGGAACGTTTCCGCTGGGAACGGGTTCTTCCCAACTCAGCATCAGGGTTGGTCAACCCAACGAGCCGGGTTCATCCGGTGGCCCCTCTGGAACACCGGAACGCCGGAATGGGGGCTCTAACCCAAGTCATCGTCAAGGTTGGCCAACCCAATGAGCCGGGCTCATCCTGGCGGCCCCTCTGGAACACCGGAATGCCGGAATGGAGGCTCTACCCAAGTTATTGTCAAGGTTGGCCAACCCAACGAGCCGGGTTCATCCGGCGGCCCCTCCGGAACGTTTCCTGGGAACAGGTTCTTCCCAACTCAACGTCAGGGTTGGTCAACCCAACAGGGTTGGACTCCTCTGGCAGCCCCTTCTGGAACGCCGGAACGCCGTAATGGAGGCTCTACCCAAGTCATCGTCAAGGTTGGCCAACCCAACGAGCCGGGCTCATCCTGGCGGCCCCTCTGGAACGCCCCCCGACTCGGCGGCGCCGCCGCCGCCGCTCAGCCCACGGGCCCGGCCTCCTCCTCGCCGTGGCTCCGCAGGTGCCGCTGCAGGTGGGAGGTGCCCCCGAACCTCCTCCCGCACCGCGGGCAAGGGAAGGGCTTCTCCGCCCCTCCTCCACCACCGTGGACCCGCCGGTGCTTGGCCAGCGCCGAGCCGTCGGCGAACGCCTTCCCGCAGTCGGCGCAGCCGTGCCGGGGCCCGGCGTGGGCCCTCTGGTGCTTGTGGAAGTGCAGGGTGCTGTTGAAGCTCTTGCCGCACTCGGCGCACACGTGGGGCTGGCCGCCGGCGTGGGTCCGCTGGTGCCGGTACAGGTGGGAGGTGCGGCCGAAGCGCTTGCCGCAGTCCCCGCACTGGTACGGCCTCTCCCCGGTGTGGATCCGCTGGTGCCTCTCCCAGTGGGAGCTCCACGAGAAGCTCTTCCCGCAGTCCCCGCACCGGTACGGCTTCTCCGCCGCGCCGGTGCCGGTGTTGCCGCCGGCACCACCATGGAAGCTGCGCCGGTGCCGCGCGTACTGGGCGCGGGCGCCGAAGGCCTTGCCGCACTCCTCGCAGCGGAAGGGCCCGTCCAGGTGGAGCCGCTGGTGCTTGACCAGCGC